TTGCTTGGATTTCTCCACCTTCATGGACTGTGCACTGAACTGAGATAAAATAAAGCCTTTCTCTCTCAAGTTTCTTTCATTAAAAGTATTTTAGCACAACAAAAGAAGAAGAAATCAAGAAATATATAAATGATGCTGGTTATGATAAGGTTTAGAAATATAAATTATCCAAATATGTATGTGAGCATAGAGTTTTCAGAGTCAAATAGCCCTTTAATTCAACTCCTATATGAAAGTATGACCACATGGAGAACAATAGTGATGCAGGCCCACATTTGCTGTGGAATAGCCTTCTGTACACTGTGAAATGTGTTGCTCTCATTGCTAATACAAAGCTGATTGGCTGGTAGCTAGGCAGGGGACAGAAGTGGGACAGCCAGACAGGGGGTGCTGGGAGGAAGAAGGGTAGAGTCTTGGAGCCATGAGAGACACAGAGAACAACAGGATAAAAGTGCCGTGTTGTAAGAAGGTGCAAGAGAATTGTCTGTATTCTGTCAACCATGTATTTTAATAAAACGCTGATTGGCCAGGCAGGAAGTATAGGTGGATCAAGCAGACAGGAAGTAGAGGCGGGGCAATGAGAATAGGAGAAGGCTAGGGAGGAGAAAGCTCCCTCTGCTATTCCTGCCCAGACTACCGAAGAGGCAACATGTGAGCTGACAGCTGAAAAAGGTACCAAGCCATATGGCTAACATAGATCAGAATAACGGGTTAAGATAAGTCATAAGAACTAATAAGTAGCCTGACCTAATGGGCCAATCAGCTTTATAACTTATAGAGATCTCTGTGTGATTGATTTTCTCTGGGACTTGCCGGTTGTGGGGTACCGGGCGGGAACAGATACCCCAACAAGCCGGCCCTTGACACTACAAGAAGGTATAGCCACGGGGCTGGAGAGATGGCTCAGTGGTTAAGAGCATTGCCTGCTCTTCCAAAGGTCCTGAATTCAATTCCCAGCAACCACATGGTGGCTCACAACCATCTGTAATGAGGTCTGGTGCCCTCTTCTGGCCTGCAGACATACATACAGACAGAATGTTGTATACATAATAATAAAATAAATAAATTTTAAAAAAAAGAAGGTATAGCCACATGGTAGAGGGTAGATAAGAAATGTGGGTTAGTTTAAAATGTAAGAGTTAGCTAGTAACCAGCCTGAGCTATCAACCAAGCATTTATAATTAATAATAAATCTACGAATGGTTATTTGGAAGCTGGCTGATGGGACAGAGTCAGTTGACAGACCCAACAAAAAACTCTGCCTACACATATTTAAGGAATAATGAAGCAAGAGCCATCACTTACACACACACACACACACACACACACACGCACACACGCACACACGCACACACGCACATGCACACACACAAAAAAGCATTAATGAATTCAGGGATAAAGAGAGGAGATAAAAGCACAATACTACAGAGACACAAAATGAAAAAGCTACAAAAAGCAATGTGCACAGGGAAAACTCAGTGAGATCAGAGACATAAGGAGATTTTCCAAATAAAATATGTATATTAGGAAAAGGAAGTAGCTCTTTTACACATTGTGTGAGCAATATACTAGCCAATCTGACTCACGCCTGGTGTTGACAAAGACGATACAAATGGAAGTCTGTGTGCGATTGGAAAATGTGCATTTGTACAAACCATCAGAGGCCATGCTGAGTTTGTCAGCTTGGGTAAGCTTACCAGCATCAGCGAGCTGCTACTCCTCAGTGTTCGCCTGAGAGAGCTCACCCTGTCTCCCATCGCACACACGGTGCAGTGCAGTGTTCACTATGAAGACAAGGCAGGCAACAATGCGGTGCTGCTGCGACTGTCGAGGGCTGGAAAAGTGAGGCAGAGGAGCGACACCCCTCAGCAGCACCTACCTGACAGCCGTCACTCACCTGACACTGACACCTCTGATGACCTGACCGCTCTCAACAGCCTCTTTTTCTTTCTGTATCTTCAAGCTGATTTCTTTTTGTTCTTTCTGTTTTTTTTTTCTTTTTAGTTTTTATGAGATAGGGTTTCTCTGTGTAGCCCTGGCTGTCTTGGAACTTGCCCTGTATCCAGGCTGGCCTCGAACTCTCAGAGATCTGTCTCCCTCTGTCTCTAGGTACTGGAATTAAAGGCGTGTGTCACTATTGCCCATTGTGGGTAGAGCAAACAGAAGGCAGTGGGTGACCTCACTACCTGGTCATCAGTCTCTGGGGTGCCCCCCATGTCTTTCTTCAGCTCTGAAATGCTGGGACACCTTCCCTGCTGAATATATGAGCAGATGTACTGAATGTCCTGTTCACTTTGAGTCAATTTTACAAATATAGTAGCTTTGTACCTATAAAAAGATTAAGCAGTATGACTGTTATTAAGCAACATTATGCCTGTCCGTAATTATGCTGGGTCCCTGGAATTCAGTACTACATGCACTTCTACTTTTTAAGATTTCTTAAATTTATTCTTCAAGTATTTTAAATTAATTAGTTAACTAACTAATTTATTTGGGTGTTTTGCCTACATGCATCTCTGTGCACCACATATGTGCTTGGTTTTCACAGAGGTCAGAAGGCGGCATCAAATCCTTTAGAACTGGAGTTATAGGGGCTGGAGAAATGGCTCAGCGGTTAAGAGCACTGACTGCTCTTCTAGAGGACCCAGGTTCAATTCCCAGCACCCACATGGCAGCTCACAACTGTCTGAAAATCCAGTTCCAGGGGATCTGACACTTTCACACCAATGCACATAAAATAAAAGATAAATAAATCATAAAAATTAAAAAAAAGAACTGGAGTTATAGATGGCTGTGAGCTTCCACATGGATGCTGGGAATCAAACCGAGGTCCTCACAGGAGCGGCCAGTTCTCTCACCCTCTGAGTCATCTCTCCAACCCCAAGATATGTATGGGTGCTTTGCCTACGCATATATCTGTGTACAGTGTGCTTTTGGTGGCCAGAAGGTGTTGAACACCCTTGACCTGGAGTTAAAGCTCGTGGGCCTCCACATAGGTGCTGGGAACTGAACCCAGGTCCTCTGAAACAGCAACAAGTGCCGTCAACCACTGAGCCAGCTCTGCAGCACCTATTTTCAAAAATCACATTTAGTTATTTATTTGATGTGTGTGTGTGTGTGTGTGTGTGTGTGTGAGAGAGAGAGAGAGAGAGAGAGAGAGAGAGAGAGAGAGAGAGAGAGTTGGTTTTCTCTTCCTCCTACATGAGTTCAGGGATTGAACAAGGTCATCAGACTTGCTGTGTCTTTACCCACTAAGACGTCTCATTGGCCTGTGAATTTTTTCTATTAAAGCAACCAGAAATTCAAGAAACTTACAAAAAGCCTAAAGGCTCAAGTATGGATTGAAAAGGAACACACACACACACACACACACACACACACACACACCATTGAGAGGAGCAAGTTAGGCACATACCTGGGAATGTCTGTCATGCTACTTGGAGTACAGTAGTTTTAAATGTGAGACAGATATGGGATTCAAACAATACTACTTTGAAGGATAGAGTGAGTCAAGAACTCACTAGAGACCTCTGTGTGGGAGGAGACAGTAACATCCACAATGTCTGAAAAGTGGCTGTCACCCGGAGACACACAAAGACGTACTCTGGGGTGGGCCAGAGGTGGGTGAAAAGGGTTTGGGCTTTTCAATTTAGAGTCATGGACTGTCACTTAAATAATTAACCGCAGGGAATAAAGATCTTCACATTTAACAGACTGGTCTTCTTATTGCACCCAATCTGTGTCATTCTGATGTGGTGCTGGGAGGGTCTGCCTTCAGCTGCCCCGAAGATGCAGAAGCAGCCAGAAGGGCAGGAACTGCTGCACCACTCCTCCTCCTCGGCCACGGCTGCTACGCCACACAGAGAAGCACTGCAGAGCTACGGGGTAGGATTTGGGGCTGATGACCCCTGAACCCAGTGACTTTAGCGTCATAGGAGAGAGGAGACCAGCACAATGTGAACACTGGAGGAGGTGGCATTGTACACCCATGCCATCCCAAAACTAAGTATCTTTACAAAATAAAAATAAATGCATAAGTACAATGGAAATCTAATTGCATTTGTAGAGCAAAGTTCTCCACTGCAAAAAAATAGCGGGAGTCAGAAAGTAATCTCAAAATTCCTAACAGCCAGTTATGAGAATCAGATGGAATGAATGTAATAGTATAATTAGCGCTGCATAGCCAAATTATTATTTCAAAACCCGTTGGTGGTTCTGGAGAGATGGCTCGGGGTTAAGAATAGCGGCTGCTGTTCCAGAGGGCCCAGGTTCTAGTCTCAGAACCCACATGGCAGTTCACAACTGTTTTTAATTCCAGTTCTAGGATGTCTGATGCCCTCTTCTAGCTCCGGGGCACCAGACACACAAATGGTACACAGATACAAAGGCAGACATACACACATAAAAATAAATAATTGTTTTTTCTAAAAAGCTATTGATTAGTCATGAATTGGGAGAGCAAGTCAAAGGGTGGAAGACTCAAGACCCTAGTTGAAGGTGTGGAAAAGGATGCTGTGTGCCTTACTTTGGGACTGAAACATTGCCTCTTAAAGGGAGGGGGAGGCTCAAGACCCACCCTCTGAGGTTACATATACCTGTAAGAAGAGACTCTTCAGTGATACAGCTTTCAATAGTTGTCAGCCATGCTGAGGGTAGCTGTGGGTGTAGGTGTGTGTGTGGGGGGTGGTACAGATGCCAAGTCACCAGACTCCTGTAATTAAACCAAAGTAATCTCATGGGCTTGCAAGCCTAGAATTGGATGCACTTGTTCCTTAGTCTGCCATTGCCCTCTCGATTGACACTGCCCAGGGAGTCACACAGGAGGCAGAACAGTGGGCACATGGTGAAGAGCTGAGCAATGCAGTGGCCATCAGACTCCCAGGTTCTGCTTTTAGGGGGGATGATCGAGGTTATCTGAGGAACACAGAGCCCACAGTCTGTTCCTTCCAATGTCTGCAGTTCTAGCTATGAAAAAACCAGCCTAGGACAGCTCTCCTTACCTCTCAAGTCTAAGCCATCTCCTCTGCTACCAGGCTCTGAGGTTTCTGGCAGAAATTCATGGTAGTAGGCATGTCCTCTGAGGTTTAACTCTTGCTTTATCTCTGATTTTCTCAGGATTCTGAAGATGCACGAGCATGTGGAGGATCTAAGCAGAGATGCTAGGTAGCAGCCAGATGGGGCATGCTGGGAAAATCTGCAGTTGAATGACTTGGCCTGATCCAGGGGTCTACAAAGATACCAGAAATCCCCGGAAAGTCAATAACCATATTATCAGTCACCCCACATTTGCCCATGAAGAGCTGAAGGCCCGACCTGAAGGTTATCATGTAGACACTGCAAGCCCCCACTACCTGGCTTAATCCAGCCCCAGTTTTCCTTTTGCTGGAGTTTGTCAGGGTGAATGGCTTGGTCAGGGTACATGTTCCTGTCTCATTAAGTGATCTCTCTGAAACAGAGAATAGGTTGGGATTTTATACCAATAATCCCTCTCACTTTATAAAAAGAATTGCAATATATTACCTAATCTTACAACCTCATCTTCCATGGCATTTATATGATTCTCACCAACAACCCTCTCGCTGAGGAGTGCAGGTGAATCTGGGACCAGACTAGGGTACATGCAGATAAAACTCAGCAAATAATCACTGCCTGCCCAGTTGGGGATGAAGTAGCCCCCAACCTGGGCCCCAAATGGAACTACAGCACCCCAGGGGACATTCTAGCTAGGAGTTAATGTGTAACTTGCTTCCTGGCCAGTCTCTGTTAGGCTGCCATTAAAGCAGTAAATTATGAAAAAGCCCTAGAGGTCATCCAGGACAAACATGAAAACCTGTCTCAACTTCCAGACTGTCTTACACGAGCGCTCTTACAATATACTAATCTGGATCCTGAGACCCCTGATGGAAAACATGTCCTCATGACCTGCTTCCCCAGAGTTTCCCTGACATTACGGCCACACTTAGAAGCCGAGAGAGGGGACCCCGATGCCGCAGGCAGAAGTCTTAGCAGTGGGGCTCAAGGAATATCACAGAAGAAACGAAAAAGTCTGAAAACAAAAATACCTGTTGTTGGCTAAGGATTTGCAGGGGGCCATGGCAACTGCCCAGGCTCCTTTCCTCCTAAAACCCAATAATCTCCAGGTCCCTGCTTTCGATGTGATCAGGAGGGTCTCTGGGCCCTGGCCTGCCTGAGCCCTTGTAAACCACCTTAACCATGCTCATAAAAAGGGACACTGGGCTGTTGACTCACCCCATGTTCCTTATAATAAGAGGACATCAGGCCCAGATTGCCATCTAGCCAAACTATTAGGCCTTACCACAGATGATTGAGGGGTTTAGGGCTCCCTTGGCCCAACCACCACCATCTCTGACATGGGGCCCAGGTACCCATCACAGTATCAGGACAGCCCGCCTTCTTCCTTCTGGACATGGGTTACCTACTTGGTCCTGACAGAGTTTTGAGGACCCAGTCCCCTTCTCTTTTCCCTATTGCCGGGATAGGGGACAGCCTAAACAACCTCACCAAACCCCACCTCTTAGTTGTACTCTTAGGGGTGTCCCATTACCCACTCCTTGGTAGTGGTACCAACTTGCCCGTCCTCTTGCTGAGATGGGAACTTCCTTGCCAAGGTGTCACCCCATATTTCCTTCACTTCCCCCATCTGTTTAACCCAGGCTTGCTGCACAGTCCTCTCCTCCTTCTAGTCCAAAGCACACAATCCAACATACCTTTTCCCTTTGCCAGCTTCTCAGCTGGATCCATGAATATGGGACACCCCTAACTCCTCTATAACTGTGGCGGTTTTGAAAGAAAATGTTCCCCAAAGAGACTGGATGTAGGGTAAAAGGGCCAGCTAAAGACACCCACCCTGACCCTGAACCCAGAGTCAGTAAAAGAAACACACTTTGGCCCTGAATCCAGAGCCAGTGAAAGAGGGCCAGTGAAAAATACACTTTGTTTCTGAAGCCAGAGCCAAATAGGCCCCTGATCAACTGAGCATGAAATCAACCAATCCCTGAGTAGGAAAACCAACCAACTCCCGAGCAGAAAACCAACCAATCACTGAACATGAAATCTAGCCAATCTAAGTTTGTCCAAGCTCAAGGGGATTGAAATCTGACCAGTTCCCTCCCTGAAAGTCTCCCTGGAAAGACTCTGTCCCTAAGAACCTTATATAAGTCCCGTGTCTGTTCAGTTAGCAGCTTTTCTTTTCCACCCTGGCAGGGGCAGCCACTCTCCTGGATTCCCAAATAAGTCTCATGAAAGAGTTTTGGGTGGAGACCTTTTGGTGGAGCAGAGAAGAATTTCTGCTGAGAAACTCCATAGTGGAGGGGAGCAGAGAAGACCCCCCCCATCTGCTGGGAAACTCCCTAGTGGAGGGGAGCAGAGAAGACCCCTCTGCTGGGAAACTCTCCTAGCAGAGTGGAGCAGCGCCCAGCTGTAGTGGTTCTCTGTTGGGGAGGAGCAGGATGCCACATCCTGTAGGGAGACCGTCCCCCACCTGAACCAAGCTTCAGGTAAGTCAGAACACCTTTCTCTTCGTAGCTGTAGGTATCCAGGATACCTTCCCTTCACAGTTTCAGATACAGCCGACTTCCTGACAGTCAGGATACCTTTTCCTCCAGAGCTGTAACACTTGAAGGTGTCGCCTGACTTCCGACAGTCAGGATACCTTTCCCTCCAGAGCTGTAACACTTGAAGGTGTCGCCTGACTTCCGACAGTCAGGATACCTTTTCCTCCAGAGCTGTAACACTTACAATGGTGCTATTAGGAAGTGTGGCTTTGTTGGAGGAAGCGTATCTCTGTGAAAGTGGGTTTTGAGGTCTCATATATGCTCAAATTACATCCATGGCCTCAACCTTCTTCTTATTGCCTGTGAGTCAAAATGTGTGGACTCTCAGCTACTTCTCCAGCGTGTGTCTGTCTGCATGCCACAGTGTCACACCATGATAACGGACTAAACATCTGAAAACTGTAAGTCACCCAATTCAATGTTTTTCCTTTATAAGTGTTGCCAAAGTCACGGTGTCTCTTTACAGCAGTAGAAACCCTAACTAAGACAATAGCTTTCTTCTGCCTCTTGTCATCCATTTATAAAATCCTTTCACTCCTGTCCAGAGTGAAAAGTGAGACTTTGCCTACCCACCTGGTTCTGGCTGTTGGGAAAGTTGTGTCTGCCTGTTTTGTGCATGTGGGCAGATCTGTGGTTTCTGATGTGTCCATAAGTCTTGTGGCAAATACAGGAGCTGAGTTGTAAATGGGCCAGGCTCAACTGAATGTATGAATGATGGTGACAACTGAATGTTTTGTTTCTGACCGGTCTCCTTTGAGTGCGTGAGATTTCTGTGTTCTGTCTTTATTGGTCATGTTTTTGTTTCTTCTGCCATTGCCAGTCGCCAGCTACCATTGTCAACGCCACCTGTCATGGCTGCTTTGATGGCCAGGATTCAGAATTTGTCTTTGGGCTTTCTCGTCACTGGATTCAGATTAGCAGGGATTCAAATGTCTTTTGTGTATAGATAATATTAAAGTTGTTTTATGCTGTTCTCCTTCATTGGAAAGCTGGCTCTGGGGTTGGGTTATGACTCTAATTCCTCTAGACCCAAGCATGTTTGTCTAAAGATGTCCTCCAAAATCTCTGTCCCATGTCAGGGAGGCCACCTGACTGTGATAGAGAAAGGAAAGCAAAACAAAACAAATGGATTGAAAGGAACTTGCTTTGAAATGACTGCTCTCAGTAATAATTACTTTTGTCTTTGGTAAATGGTTAGAAGGAAACTGTGAAAGCTTATGTAAGTCCTGAAGGTCTAAGAAAATTCTATAAATGTCTATGAATGAGAAAGTTTAAGTAACTTCTTAGTTAAGTTCTAAGAAAGTGTCTGAGGATATGAAAAGCTAGTGTTTTAAGATAAATAAATGCAAGTTGTGCAAGTATAAAAAAGTAATCTGAGGCTGATAGAGGTGGTGCACTTTAATCCCAGCACTCATAAGGCTGGGATAGGTGGATCTTTGTGAGTTCAAGGCCAGCCTAACCTACAATTAGTTTCAAGACAACCAAGGCTATACAAAGATACCATGTCTCAAAAAACAAAACAAAATAAACAAAAACTGAACAAACAAAAAAACCCCAGTAATCTAAGGTAATGAAAATGTTTCAGATTTCTCTCCCCCCATTTTGAAGGTTCAGAGTTTTAATATTGATCAATGGAGTTTAGATAAGCCAATATAGCACCAACTACTATTATCAGTCACAAATTCAGAATTTTAAATTTTCTTCAGTTGTCTTCTAAGTGTAGATTCAAGAGTGTAGATTTCTCATCATCCTAAAAATATCTCTATCCAATCTATATTTTTAGCTCTCTCAACAGAGAAAAAGTTCATACTTTTTAACCCAAAACGTCTGTTATTAGCCAAAGGTGTGACAGCATTAGGTGATTTTTTTACAGTGTGCATTTCAGTATAGATTACAAAAGGTTGTAATATTAATATATTTAAAACTTTTGTGTCTTCTTGTGAACAAAAAATTGTCATGTAAGCTTCAGAGAGTTGAGAGAGGCATAAGACTTGGATCTACCTCTCACAAGTCAAACAGTCTCCAGATAAGTCAGACTAAATTTACCTACCTGCCTATTCTTGAAGGTGATCTCTCTCCCTTCTAGGTTTGGGACTTCTTCTCTTCAACCAACAGGACCATGGGCCTGAAAGTTCCAAGCATAAGATTTTTCTTTAGATTCCTAAACTTTAACTTCTGTCCTTAGTCTATATCTGTTTCAGTAGATTTCCACTCAGTTGACAGATCCTAACCAGAAATCGGCTGTGGACTACAAACTGCTCCAAATGGCTCCAAGCCCTGAACTTGCTGAACGCTGATATAAACCAGTCCAGTCAATGTTATTGTTCCTTATGTCTTCAGCTGGGTCAGCAAATCAAATGCTTCTGATGAGTGCCCCATTATCTGAATGCCCTCCCAGCCTTTGCCTAGCATTCCATCCTTCCTGGGCCCTGACAACAATGCCCTAATTTCAGCAAGAAGTAGTTACAGAAGAAAGCACATCACCCCTTATCCTCTACAAAAGACTGGGATGTTAGTTCAAAAGGAAATTCCCTTGTATAGGGGAAAATGGCCACCTCGATGCCTATTGCCATACCAGGAAAAGTATCTGCTAAAACCAAATAGACCAAAAATTACCAATAGGTAGATTTATTAGCTCAAATAGTTTTACAACATGATAGGGCGCTTGACTTGCTTTGTGCAGGACAAGTTTATTGAGTGGCATTAAGAAAAATTAATTTTTTCTATTTATTTTTAAATTTTTATTTAAAATTGTGTTTTTTAATTTTACATACCATCCACAGTCCCCCCTCTTTTCCCTCCTCTTGCTCCCTCCCACCTTCCTCCCACACAATCCTTCATCCATTCCTCAGAAAGGGTAAGGCATCCCATGGGGAGTCAATAAAGTCTGGCATATCAAGTTGAGGCAGGACAGAAAGTCAGGAAATCCAAGGAAAAAACAATAAAAGGCTTGGGCAGTCTTTTTTCTATTTAAACCACTTGAAAACCATCTTAGGGTTTATATTGCTGTGACCAAATGCCATGATGTAACATGAAGGGGCCAGTTTGTTGGGGTTTCTGTCCCACCTGGTACCCCACAGCCGGTAAACCCCAAAGAAAATCACACAGAGGACTCCATAAGATTATAAACTGATTGGCCCATTAGCTCAGGCTACTTAGTAGCTCCTATAACTTATGTTAGCCCATTATTTTTATCTATGTTAGCCACACGGTTCAGTACCTTTCTCAGCAGCAGCTTACATCTTGCCTCTTCTATGGTCTGCACAGGAGTGGTGGAGGAGCTTCCTGCTTCCCAGAATTCTCCTCTTCTCTTTGCTCCACCTCTACTTCCTGTCTGGTTTTCCCACCTATACTTCCTGCCTGGCCAATCAGCATTTATTTAAAACATGATTGACAGAATATAGACAATTCTCCCGCACCACCATGACCCTAGATAAAGTTTGGGGGGGCAGGGTTTATTTGGCTTACGCTTCCATATTGCTGCTGTTCATCATTGAAGGATGTCAGGACAGGAACTCAAACAAGGCAGGATCCTGGAGGCAGTAGCTGACGCAGATGCTATGGAAGGGTATTGCTTACTGGTTTTCTTCTCATGGCTGGCTCAGCCTGTTTTCTTATAGAACTCAGGTGTTGGGAGCCACCTGGAGGCACAGGTGGTCCTGCAGTTTGGAGGTAGCCACGTGGGGCTGAGCAACCCTGCCTGCACCCTTGCCTGCACATGCTCAGACCAGCAGAATGGCATTAACCAATCAGGACAGCGTTCAAGCCGCTCCACCGTTTAAAAGCAGCTGCCTCGGGGCCCAACGCTCTCTCTCTAAGCTTTCTCTTGTCCCTGCTCTATCTTCCCTTCCCCCAATTTTCCTCAAGGGAATGCTCCAAATAAAGATGTGACCAGAGAAGGAATTCTCATTTTTGGTGGGGTTCATTCCTGCTGGACAGGATGGCGCCCCGCAACTGGTGCTCGAAACCCCGGGACGCTGAGGGACCCTGACAACTACGCCGGGGGACCCTGAGAAGGAAGCGCCCAACAACGCGCTGAAAGCCCAAGATCAGACACCAGCACAGAGAGCCTTGAATTTCAGAACTCTGAGAACATGGAGCGGTGAGTGACGTCGGTTGAATTCCTCCAGAAAGGGGAGGAAAAGAAATGTAAAAAGGAATTTCAAAGGATAGGCCTAAATAGAAAAGAAAATACAAAAAAAAAAAAAAAAAAAA